TGCCCTCTTATGGGGTTTGAATTAGATTTTTGTTATTGATGAATAGTTGCGGGACGACCATATTAAGTTTGAGAATAACTAAGTATGGATGAAGTAAAAATTAGATGCTTTAGCAAATATTATTCATGATTTTGTACCTAGAGAGGACTACAATGGAATAAGGAGTGCGAGATGGTGCTTGTTACTGGCTCAACCATTTATATAGATGAAGTTGGGGATGAGGTGGAGGTACGTAGGGGACCAACCTTTGGCTATTATACTTGCAAATTGTGAGGTTGAGAAGGCAAGGAATGCTAGCATATTTGTTGAGGTCATATGCAAGATTGATGCACATATATTATGATTTGAAAGTACTGAGAAGAATAATAAGTAATTGACTAGGTATTTCACAAATCCAGTTGGGAAGGGTCATAAGCCCATTGATCCATGCACTGTAGATCCCCTTCGCTTGATTGATGATGAGTAATTATCCTCCTTTGAGTCTTGGAAGTCGAGATTGCTTGACAACTCTGAGGAGAAATGGATAGGAGTGAGTAGTGGAAGTACAATATGGTTCCAACATTTGCATACTCCATAGCTTGGTTAGATAGTAAAGTAAAATATTTAGTTCATTGAATATATGAGTTCTTGAATGTTCTTTACACTAACTTCAATTTTGATTTTTGAAGTACATTAATTCATCTTATTTTCCAATAAAGAGACAATTTGACATTGTTCAATGACCTATATATCTAGCATTATTGTATCAGATAAATCATTTGATTAACACTGCAGATCAATAATCTCCCCTTTCCATAAGATCAAGAAAAAGGATTCCTTCAACTGGCTTCATGTGTCACTCAGGTCTATAGTATAGCAATTTGTTTGAAATTTTAAGAAAAATTAAGTGATTATATTAGTCTGATGATTATTTTATGTTTTGTTATAGTGTTCAATGTGGATTGTATGCAATACAATTGCTCATATAATTGATTTAAAAAAAAAAGAACCTTTTTGGAAGTAACACCTGATCGCATATAATTCTACATGGGTTATTTATATGTAGATTTTATTTCACAATATTGTGTTTCCATAGTTTTATTTATTATTATGATGTAAATATTAATTTCTTTCTATACATTTATTTTTTTTATTAATTCAATTTGCCTTACTTCAAATTTTACATATGTTGAATTATAAATGTTGAGTTATAACTTTTGAATTGCACAATTGAATTGCAATATGCTATGTTGTATCTCTTAAAATGCACTCTATTGTTATGGCTATTGTATTACAACATTTCGAGAATATGGGTGGTTCGAACAATGATTCAAACAAGGTTCAAACAAGTATTGAACATGGTCCCAATCCTTGTGGCAATATGGTTGAAACTAATTTTGGTTGCGATGAAATTCAATAAGTATATTTTTTGAAGAAATGGACTTCAGGCATATTTTCCTAAGAAAATAAACATCGAGAAATTTTCTCCAATTTAGGGGTTGTTTGGTTGGTTGAAAAGAGAATGCATTGTAAATGTAATGTAGGGTAAAATGAATACTTTAGAGTTGTTTGGATGAGTGTAAAATAAATGTAAGTGATTACTTTTTTTATTTGATTCAAGTAAAATGAGTGCAATTGTAAATTCTAAAGAGGGTTGTGGTCGGTGGTGGTAGATGACATTGGTGGTGAGTGATTGTGGTGGTGGTCTGCGGCGGTGGTGGATGATGGGGGTGGTCGGCGACAACAGTGGTGGTGTCAGCCGACAACAACGGTGTTGGCATCAACGGTGGTGGAGGTGGTCGGTGGCGATGGACAGTGGCCAGTGGCCGACGACGGAGGCTTGCTGTGATGGTTAGCGACAGTGGTGGTGGCGCCTGGTGATAGACTGTGGCTGGCGGTAGCGATGGCCACGGGTGGCTGCAATGGCGATGAATATATGGTATATTTGAAACTCGTCCAAATCTGAGGAATTCCAAATACCCCAATAATTAACTAGAGGTTGAATTGCAAATGCAGTAAAATCTTATATTGCATTTGTTTTACTTCAAATAAAATACCAATATTCTCAAAAATACATTTCACCCATTTTACTTGAAACCAAAATACTCTCTAGGGTATTATAAGGCATGCAAAGTAAAATTTTCAAATATTTTGATTACAAAATGGTTGGAAACTAAATTAAGAATGCAAGCAACATCTGATAGTAATTATGAGAAATTGAATGACTACAAAAATTAAACATGGAAAAAATGATATTTTGAGCAATTTTAATGTTCAAATAGCATGGATTATCATTCCAAATTGATTAGTTGTATATGTAAACTATATGAAGATTTATAGATAAAACATACTTTAAAAGAAAAGATATGAAAAAATTTTGGAATCATTATTCAAAGTTGGGATTAATTTTTGGTATTCTTATAAGTCTTTGTATGCTTCATAAATATATAATCTACCTATAATAAAATCATAAAGCTAATTTTATGCTTTGAATTCTAACTCTTAGAATTCTATGTAACTCTTAAAATTCAAAAATAAGGATTTAATGTTGTTGGAAGATGATGAATGGTTGAGATTATTATTTAAAATTGAAAGACTATGATCATATTTCATTACTAATATATAATTTATGTTTTGCTATTTAAATATTATGATGTTTTGATTTGCAATAAATGTATACCTATTAATTATATATTAGTGATGAAATATGATAGACTAAAAGTTTAATATAAGTTGTTGTCTTTTTCTTTACGGGCATGAATATGATGCAAGATAATTGAGCTTGCATAAACTAGCAAAAAATTGGTCCATATTGTCTTTGATAAATCCAACTTAGTCTAATTGGATTAGCTCTATTGACCCAATTGGTTTGGTTGGGTCATCTTCCACCCATGTGATGGGAGCATATCATGGTCATAGGTGTATCTTCTTAAACGAATGCCTCTAGTACTTCTCATGTGCTCTGGCCTAGTGAGGAGTGATATGCAGTAGGAAGCCTACTAAAAAGTAGCAAACCGACAAAAGTTTTTTTTGAGTCACTTTCCTTACAAGATTTTTTGAGGATCCTATAACTATCTTCAAAAGTCTCATTCGAGAAAAGGACCAAAATGATCCTCAACTCTTTTGAGGGACTAAATTGGTCTCTCAACTATCTAAAATGGGACCTTTTTGGTCATTATATTCAATTTCAGAGTTAATGGTGTTAAATATAAGGGTATTTTGGACATTTTTTAATTAAATATTTATTAAATATAATTTTCAAGTAATTATAATTGTTCTAAAAGAATTATTTACATATTTTTTTAAATTAAAAAATTAATAATAATTTTAGATTTAATTTAAAAAATTTTAGTCATATTTTATAAAATATGATATTTATTGATTTAGATAAATCAAATGCAATATATGTTATTTTGAACTTAGTAACACATATTTTATAAAATATGACTAAAATTTTTTAAATTAAAACAAAAATTATTATTAATTTTTTTTATAAAAGAAATGTTTAATAAATTTTTCAAAAAAAATATAATTACTTGAAAATTATATTTAATAAATATTTAGTTAAAAAATGATCAAAATATCCTTACATTTAACATCATTAACTCCAACCTTGAATGTTAGGACCAAAAAGTCCCCATTTTAAAGAGTTGAAGGACCAAATTGGTCCCTCAAAAGAGTTGGGGACCATTTTGGCCCCCCTCAAACAGTTGAGCGACCATGTTGATCCTTTTCGGTCTAAAATATTTCTTATTTTTTATTTTATTTCTTTCTTTAGAATTCTGGCTTACATTTCAACTAGTGCCTGCATATTATTGCATCTGTTATTACATGCATATAACAAGTCACATGACAACATTGATTTAAAGGTTGATTGACAGACTGGGGGCTATGGGCAGCCTTGCATTTTTTATCAGCAGTCTTATTGAACATCCTCTTTATGCATGCATGCATCATCATGCGTGCCAGTTGAAAATGATCTTGGATGTTTTTTATCTTGCCAACAGTATAAGTTCTCACAATCATACTTCTGAAGTGCAACTTCTTACACAATTGATTTACACTGTCTTATTCAATTATAGCGTCCTGAGGTTAAAATCAGTCATTTTTTTAAAAAAATTGTGATCGCTAAACCTTTCACTGTAGAATTACAACATCTTAAGGAGATCATATTTTAGCTCAAACATGCTAGTTCATGATGGTTGGCTAATATATGTCACTTGATGTGCTACTATAGTTGCATAAACATGATGCGTCACTTAAATCCCTCATAGATCAAGTTATTTCTTGATGTTAGGAAAAGATTGAAGTTTTTTACTATGAATTTTTTATATAATGTTTAAGATAAGAAAAGTATGCTATACTTGCGCAAAATTAACATCTTAAAATCGACCACTTGTCTTCAAATTGTCAGGATCAACATACTTTATTAAAGGATATTAAAGGCGACTACTGTGAACTATTTTGATGAGCTAACTAAGTTTATGAACAAGCTATGTAATAATAGTGAGGTAAAACGACACAAAAGGCACCAAGTTATGTGATTCGTCTATATTAATTGCCTATCAATGTGAGAAGAGAGAACAAATCGACTATCAGGAAATCACTAGATATCTAATTTATTTTACAGATACATTTGCTGAACTAAACTGAAATATTTTTTTGGAGTGGTTGGAAGCATGCTCCCTACTGTCCCTAAATCGGTCTCATTACGTTGTGTGACACTGCTTATTAATGGATACTGGTCATCTGCACAGAGAAGTTCAAGAAATTGTGAATCATTTTTGCAACGTTAGTTAATTTATTAAAGCATAAAAACACAAATAGCTGTGACAGCTCTTTCAAAGTTATGACCATAATTTCAAAATGTGTAAAGTTAACTATATCACTTTGTTCCTATGTTCTGCGTGGTTTATACTGTTACATGTTTCTTTTATTGATGTATCCCTGTCAAATTAGAAAAGTATATGCATCTCGTGCTGGAACCCTCTCTTGATAACCTCGCACTTATTTACTTGAAGAAACTACAGAAAAATGATGGAACAACTCACTTTTGGCATCGAAGAAACCATTCTGTAGATTTTGATACTGCTACAACAGAGGAGTTTGTGGAGAAGATGAATCTATCAGCAGGAGATATTATCCAAACAAGTTCAAATTCAGAATCCTCTCCTGCAACCTCACTTCATGTGCAGCTGTCTTCCCAGTCTCGTTCTGAACAAAGTGTAAAGGAGGAATGGGCTGCAACTGTCATTCAAACTGCTTTTCGAGCTTTCCTGGTACACCATCCATCTTTCATAGCATTTGTATAATTTCCAATCAATTAATATTTATCTAAAAAAATTTCAGCTATCGTACTTTCATAATAAATTTGACAAGTTGTGATGAGCTATTTTAAAATATCTTTTGATTGATTACGACATATAAAATAATATATTATCATGAAGGATATGATTATTAATTTTGCTATGAATTCAATAACAAAAGAGATTTTGAATTTTTTATTTTCCTAGTGATTTTCCTTTGCCCAATATATTTGATTGAGTAGGTTTTATTTTATCTTGACTGCATGTTTCTTATAAGGAAAACCTCTATGATTAATTATATCCCAAGAGTATTTAGCTCTTGAGAAATTTTTTGATTAAAATAGTGCTTTACATTTTTTTAATCAAAATATTGACTAATATTTTTACATGATTTTCAAGAATTTTATTTTATTTTTCCTGAAAGTTTCAAAGGATGATTGAACTACTTAGAATTGATTTTGAGTAGAAGCCAAATGAAGAAATCTAGAGTACTTGATTATACAAATTTAGAGGTATAGAGGTACTCAATATTTTTCTATGTTGAGCTTTATATTTTAAAATTGAATTTATGTTTAAGTTGAACAATTTCATTTAGAAAGTTGGGGCTTATCTATTAACACAAAATTTACAAAATACCTAGGAAAGTGAGGGCTTATGATGGAATTAGATAAAATATTAGCCTTAGACCCTAGATCTAAAATGAGAATAGCCGATAGGTAGTAATTCATACCTAAATATATCAAAATGCATGTGACTTATAAATTTGAAACCTCAGTTGAGGTTAAGTCAGCTTAACATCTAGTCTTACAATCCTGCTTGGAAAGGACTGTTAAACCCACCCAAACCTATTTCATATTCCACTTGTCCTAGCTAGAAGCAGGTAACCATGGCCGATTGATCTTTACCATTGTGCTTGGTCCTGTAGATGTTCTCATAAACAAACCACTCTTGCTCTAAAATTTTCTTCATATATCTAAATAATTTACCTACCTATTATCCATTTAAAAGCTAATTAAAGATTTCAAATGCAGTGTTGTGGCTTCATCCTTCATATTATGTTTTTCAGGAATAGGGCACAAGTAGGACGATTAATGAAAGGATGGTCCTACCATCTAGAGGAATCCAATGATAAAGAAAACTCCATACAACATCAATATTTTCTCTTTTTCTAAAAAATCCAAATCAAAGAAGGAAAAAAGATTGCTTTAACAACTAGGCATTGATCACTTATCCTTTATTGTTCTCAAAATTATGTTTCTTTCAATATTCAAAGAAATCAATATTGGAGTATTCTATTGTAGTGTTTGTGAACTAGCAAAATAAAAATGAGACCGTTTATTCATTTTTCTCTTATTCATTGTGATATATGAGGACCATATTCTACACCTTACCATTTTAGGGCTTAGTGGTTTGTGTTCTGTATTGATGATTGCACCTATTTTTCATTGATCTTTTTATTAAAGTCAAAAGTGATATAAGTACAATCTTTTCCACTTTTTTAATAGGACAAAAAATCAATTTAGTGTTGAAATTAAAAAGAGATCCGACAATACCAAAGATTATTTTAAACATTTTCTTTTCTCTCATGTAAAAAAAAGGAATAATACTCATGTCCTATCATCTGTATGGGCCTCATAAAATGGAGATACTGAACAGAGAACAATCTCTTATTTGTTATCAAATGTCTCATTTTTTTTCTTAAAATATTCCAAAATAATATTAGGTGAATGCAATTTTAATAGTTGCCCGCATCATAAATTGATTACTTATGAAGGTTCTTTGGTTTTAAGAGATCTGCACAAGTACTAAATAAGTTATTTCCCAATTTCAATCCTCAAACAACTTCATTTCAAAAAATCTGGAAGTGTTATCTTTGTTCATACACATTTTTAAAATATTGAAAAATCTGACTCTTGAGCAATTAGATGTGTTTTCATTAGTTATTCTTTCATAGAAAAAGTTTATAAATGCTATCATCGCTTACAAGAAGGTCATTTTTAATGAAAAAAAGCACTACTTTGTTACTACTTAATCTAATAAAAAAATATTATTCACAAATGAGTTTTTTCTCCTAAAATTTTCTTTCTTACCTTATCTTGGAAAACAATTTTATTCTTAAAGTAATCATTCCTACATAAATAGAACCTATTCCAAAAACACTTCCTACTTAGCCATTATGGTTTTACTCATGAAGAAAGACATCAGTCTGCGCAAAGAAAATCAATCAAATCAGTCTCTATCATTGAAACTGTTGAGGGAATCATTGAGTTTGCAAATAAAGGTACTGTTCCATTAGACACTCTTACACTTATTTTTATTATACAAATTTTTTTTCTCATAATTATCTATATCCTTTCTTGCTAGCTTGCATGCTATTTCTATCCCAAAAATAATATTTGAGATTTTAATAATATGAATTGGAATAATGCTTAGAGGAAAGAACAAAAAGTATGTAAGCTAAAAAAATGCATCATATGAGTTGAAGCAATCTTTAAGAGCACGGTTCACCAAAGTAATAGTCAACATGGAATACAAGCAATTAAGCAAAGTAAAAGAAACCATATATTTTTTGCGAAACACATAGCTTCAGTGTGAGTCTCCACACTACTAGTTTATTTTGATGATATTATCATGATTAATATTGGCTTGAAAGGATTGGAGAATTTAAAGAAAATATTGTTCCTATCATTTGAAGTTAAAGAATTAGGCAAACTAACTTTTTTTCTTGGCATTGAAGTTACGCTGTCTTAATATAGAATCATCATATCACAAAAAAAAAAAAACCGTTTAAAAATAGTCATGTTAGGTTACAAAGTTATCAAGAGCTCGACGAATTCAATCGTAAACTTAGAGATTCTTCAAACACCAAAACATTAGAAAAAGCCTCTTATCAGAGAATTCAGGGAAGATTTATCTATTTATTATATACTAGATTTGATATTGTCTACATTATTGATGTAATGAGTCATTTCATGAGGAATCCTATAGAATTACATAATTGTGTTGCATTTAGAATTCTATAATCTTTGTAGGGAACTTCGGATAAAAGAGTTCTATTAAAAAAGTTGGACTTACCCTAGAAGCATAAACAGATGTAATGATATGATTTATATGGTTTTTATGGTTGATAGTAGGTCAATTTTAAGATATTGTATATTTTTAGGAGGCAACCTTGTGACTTGAAGAAGTAAACAATAAAATATGATAGCAAGCTTTAGTGTAGAATTCAAATTTAGATTTATGATATTAGGAATTTGCAAATTTTTATGACTAAAAGTTATCCTAGAAGATTTAAAGGTTAAATGAAAGTGTTCTATATGGCTCTATTGTGAAAATAAGTCAGCCTTTAATATTACATATAATCTAATGCAACATGATCATATAAAGCATATTGATGTTGATCTGTTGATGAACACTTTATAAATGGTAAGTTTAACAATAGTCTAATCTATACTTTTTTCGTAACCATAGGTGAACAACTTGTTGATATTCTAACCAAATAATTATTAGTCTTAGAAATTTATGAGTCAAGCTTGGACATCCATTCCTTTGCTTGAAGGATAGAGTGAAATTTCTGCATAATTTTCATCATCTTGTATCCATTGCCTACTTATTAATCTATAGATTATTGTAATTATTATTCTTTTTGTTTGTTTCCTATTAGAAGTTCTCTCAGGATTGCATAAATACTATTGTGGCAATAGTACAAAAGTGGTCCACTACAAGTAAATTCCTACAACTAAATTCATCATCAGTCTCAAATAATGCATTACAAGGGTGGATGCTGCTATTGTTATTCATATTCCTATAGTTCTTTTTGGTTCTTATTTGCACTCTTGTTTTTTAAAGTTCCATGATATGTAGTCGACAAAAAATTTCTGCTACACATTCATATAGGTATTGGAGATCTGTAGAAAATTAATATTCAATGCAATAACTCAGTAAAAGTATAGTCTTTCAGGTGATTTTCTGTTTGAGGATTATCCTTCCTTGTTAGACTGGTTTAGATATTTGCTTTCTTACTGTAATGGTCTATAAGTTCTCCAACTTACATTACGAGGAAGACGCAAATGGCAGTTTATCACATCACCCTTGATTATGATTTTTTTGATACGCATACTTTGCCATGCATCTTTCATGTATTGGCATGGTTGAGCATTGCCCCACTTCATTTATCAGAATTTCTATAGGTCCAAGTTTCAAGATTTACCGATTTTACTCATTTAATTTCTTCTTCAAGTTGATTTTAGTTTTATTCTTATAGCTGAGTTTTTGAGGATAGGTACCGAACTATTGTGTTGGAGAAAAAAAAAGCTATAAAAAAAAAAAAACTCAAAGAAAATCCTAAGGAGGCTTGCTGAACTTTATTATTAAAAATAAAAAAGTGTTTTACATTCTCTATTTTCCTAGGATGTTGTTATTAAAAAAAACCAATTATTACATGTCTTTCTGGTTAATTAAGTCATTATTCATGCTTTTCCAGGCCAGGCGTGCTTTGAGAGCTTTGAAAGGGCTTGTTAGACTGCAGGCTCTTGTTAGGGGCCATGCTGTCAGGAAACAAGCTGCAATAACCCTTCGTTGTATGCAAGCATTAGTGAGAGTTCAGGCACGAGTCAGAGCAAGGCGAGTGCGCATAGCCTTAGAAAATCAGCTCGGTCAGCAAATGGTTCAACAACAGCTTACAGAAGATGCGCGTGTAAAAGAAATAGAGGTAAGCTACTTGGCAACATTGGATGTTTGTTCAAATTGTGGATTTGTTCTCAGCTTTACAAGTGTGATTTATGTTATCGCAATGCTTAGTTTTTACTTTTTAATGGACGAATTGGGTTTTTCTGCTTATGAAATAACGTAAGATTTCAATGCAAAGTCATTCTAGATAAAGAGGTGAGCTGGTGATTAAATTCTACAATATGATAATCATCTCAGCATCATGAAAGAATGTTAGTATTTATATACTTGAGCTTCCTTAAATCTGTATATATTTGGGAAATCAATCCATTTTATTTCTTAATAAAACATTTCAAAATCTAAGGAGGACTTTAAAGTTGCTCTAATTATGTTAGCACATATAGGCTCTGATACTAATTTGATAGGAAGTGGATGCACTCTTCACAAAAATCAGCGGATGACACACAAAAAATTGGGAAAAAGAATGCCCCAAAATAAATTTTATTGAAAGAACTATAAAGAAAAATGCAAAATACAATTGGATCTTTAATTGGAGAGGAAGATCCGGCTCTCCTAAATACCTGGCTGCTGGCTAGAGCCCAAGTAACCTAAGAATAAACTAAATTCAACAAACTCCCAAAACATCCTCTGAAATCATCCCATAGTTAGCCTTAAATAGGCTCTCATAATTCTCTCCCAAATCTGCCCCCTTTCCTTAAATAAATCCTTCTCAGATTTGGATTCAAATCAGATATCTTGCTCTAAATATTTCCCTCCCAATTGTAATTAAAAACTTTTCTAAAGACTTCCCTTTGATTAAGAACCTTCCTAAATAGTTCTCTTGATTAAGAAACTTCCTAATTCCCTCCCGATCAAATCGGCTGGTCCATCAGATTTTTTCTTGATCAAGTGAGATTTGAATATTTATGGGGAAGGATTTCTATTTGAAAATGTATCTTATTTTGTGCCTCTTTTCTTCTACTTTATTTCCTTTTTTTTTAATTCTTATTGGTTTTCCGTGTGATTAATTTTACTCAAATTGGATTTAGTTAGAGTTTTGCCAAGCATTTGGTTCAATTAGTTGCATAGTTTTGTGGTTTCAAAATTTTATAATAAAAAACTATTCAATTATCACTTGTGTGAAATTTCTTTCTATTTCATTTTCCATTTTTCATTTAAAGTAACAAATAATTGTTAAAATTAGGTGTGACTTCCAAAATATTACTTGGGTATTGCATGATTTTTTACATATTATTGGAGATCTACGTATGAAATGTTAGACCCTGAGACTTATTGTGACTTACATTGTCTCGTGTAATATATTAGCAGTTCTCTTCATGTTGATCTTATTGGTTTGACAATTGTGCCAAGTTATGATACATTTTTAGTTCTTTCTCATTGCATTATTGAGTTGTTACCTTTTATATTTTGGTTACAATTTATTGACAAGAGATCATACTTAGGGCTTAGTTTAGTTTAATGTAATGTGTTAACTTATTTGTTTTCAAGTATTCTTAAACACTTCCGGTCGCTTAAATCACCTATATTTCTTCCCTTAAAATAACATGCTATTTTTGTTAACTAGAGAAACGAAGTATGAAATCCCACATGGACTTTATCTTTAATTCTATTTCAAATGAACCTGTGCTAGAGAAACCTTCTCAAGTATGCTCATACCTTGGACAAAATGATGCAGGACTACGTACGAATGCAATGTCATGTAAAGATTTGCACAACTCTTAATTAGAATAACAAAGAAGAAACCATTAGCATTCTAAAACAACGAATAAAACAAGAAATGGGTCACACCCGCTTAGGCTAAATTACATAACCAGAGAGTTGGAAAAACTTTCAAAATCAATTAGTAAATCACTTGATGCCGAAGTAGTAGTTTCAATACAATCCCTAATCTAACAATGAAAATTAGTAAGCACAAAGGCACGCTCAAAACCCTATGTTTACTAAGCTTAGTAGTAGCAGGGGGAGTTGTCCTTCGTGACTACAATCAAGCACAAGAGAGAGTTAGATTAAAGAAATATATTGAAAGGGGAAAAGAGAACCTCTCGTCAAGGAGTGATGGAGATCATCCACTCGACGCCTTCAAATTGCTCGTCGATTGCTTCCACTAAGGTGTCCAGAATACGCTTTAGGTAGTCCTCGACGTTATGATCAACCCTTGTATTCACGTCGAAGAAGGTTGATTGAAGAATATCAGTGAAGCCGTCCCCGTCAAAAGTTAAGCTGTACTCAGTTTCCGGATCCGCCATTCATAGGTGCTAGTTAGCAAGTCCTCCAAGGATTATTTGCCCTCTTGACTCTTCGGGAGAGAGAAGTTTCTCTCCAAGGGAAAATCAAGAAGAGGCTAAGAAAGAGTTCCTTTCCAAAAATCTGAATTGAAATTTCAGATTTTAGAAAATCAATGATTGAAATTCTAGGAGGAGAATCCAATCCTTCAAATCCGGTGGAGGAATAAAGTGTAGGAGAGAGGTGTTAGATAGAGAGGGGGCGGGCGGATGATGTGGGGGGGGGGGGGGGAATTAATGTTCCTAAATCAATTATTTGATTTAGGAAATGATCTGAGGAATTAGGTGATTTGGAAAATTCGGCCAAGAAGGGGAAAATAGGATTTGGAATTATTTCCTAAAGGAAGACTTGAGTTTAGGAAATAATTAAGGGAGCATTAATGGGCTAGGAGAGAGGGGAGGCCGGCGGCATCCATGGGCTTGGGGTTTAATGCCAAGTGTTTAAGCTTGCTTAAATTAAATTTTGGATTTTAGGAAAGCATTATTTAACTCCTATTTGAATTTAAATTTCAAATAGTTTTAGTTTAGAAACTTTCCAAAAATAGATTGACTAACTTAGGAAAGATCTTAAAATTCTAAATTGCTTGAATTTTAATTTCAAATCAGCCCCAATGATGTCAATCCCAATTTGGCTAGGTGGAGCAATGGAGGGAGAGGATGGAAGGGGTCCGACCGACAGCTAGGGGATTGGGGCCGGCAGCATTGGGGGCTCGGGTAAGGGGTTGGACCGTGGGATTGAGGGGGAGGAGGGGGCTCCGATGAGGTGGGGAAATAGGCGGCTAGGTGGGTTGGAGGGGGAAAGGAAGAAAGAAAAAGAGATACAAGAAAGGAACCACGAACCCGTCTTATCTAGGTTGGTAGGTATTGCGCCAATCTCCCTCTCCTAGGGATCTCTCCAAAGTTCTCTCCAAGAACTCTCAAACGCTCTCAAACACAAGTGTAAGAAAATTTCATAATAATCATTCATTCCCTCAGGAAAATAGAATAGTGGGCTATAAATAGCCTAGTACAAGAGACTCAAGAAATAAAAGACTAAAATGCCCTCGGGGCTTACATACGACACCCCTCAACTAGAAGGGTACAACGGGAAATAAATGACATAAAATAAAATAAACAAACTACACGACATGAAAATAAAACAATACATGACATAATCAGAAGTACAATGAATCGATCGTGGCCGTAGATCGGCGACCACGTCTCTAGTAAACCTTCCACGATCTGATGTCCCCATCACAAAAGCTCGTTGGCGTGGTGATATAATAATTGATAGGATGGGGTGCCAGCCGTTCCAACCTCACAAATAACTTATATACTAAATGATATTAAAGGATTGACTGAAAGCCAAAGTTGCTTTTCTGAATAGAGTTTAACAAGAGAATTGAAAATGGCTCCTAAGGGCTTCCCGGGATTTACTAGAAAGGAACCCTTTTATGAACTTTTTGGTCATTTGGTCATTTTTCATGGAAATCTGTTCATATGTTTTAGAGTACTATCACATCATTGCATTCCGCATGTACCCATTTTCCTAAGACATGAGTGAAAAGACTCATGTCGTATATCTTCTATCTTCTTCTTCCTCCCTAATGCGACTTCAACCACCATAGACTGGTATTCGATGAGCACGAGTCTTTCCCTTACCAACTCTTGGACTAACTGCCGCAATGCAACAAAGTGAGAAAAAATGACTTGACTTCAGAACATTTCTGAAAGAATCCTCCTTAGAAAAAAAGACTTTAGTTTAATGGTTTGAACTAGAATTAACATGAAACTAAGACACTACCAAAACATTGAATTTCGAATAGTATGACGGCATGCTGTCAGCATTTCCCTTCCCAGAGTCCAATAACCAAGGCTAGGGTCAGAATCCAACTTCCTCTCCTCACTCATCTACTTGGACTATTTTACATTATAAATAAATCATTGTATTCCCAACTTCTACATGATGGAAGGAAGAAATCATTGTTATTATATGTTCTGTTGAGGACCTATTTGCCTTTCTAGATTTTGTAACGAACCAAAATGTATATTGTAATTGTTGTATAATATAGCAATTTTTTATTTTAGAGTTGCTTAGTGTGTTGCAACGAGTCCAATAATTGAGCTTTACGATCAAACAACATGTTCATTCCTTTGTAGTTCCTGATCCCCCCTTCTTTTCTGATTCATGTTGAAGACTTTTTCATGATTGAAACTAACTAGTTTTGCATGTATGCAGGAAGGTTGGTGTGACAGTGTTGGTTCTGTTGAGGAAATTCAAGCAAAGTTGTTAAAAAGGCAAGAAGCAGCAGCCAAACGTGAGAGAGCCATGGCTTATGCTCTTTCTCATCAGGTATGACATCTTTTAACGTGCATTTTCAACTTAAAAAATCATTAGGGTCATTGTGGGATAATGGAAACGCATGCACAACGCTTTTACAAGGGAATTTTATTGGACAGTCGATCTCTTTTTTGCATCTTCAGATTATTGAATGTTTGGAATCAATAGAACTGTTTTTAGTTGAGAACATATGGTACTGATCCTCATATTGCTGATCCTTCAAAATGATCTTTTATATTATAGGCTTGGCCATCTTTTAGTTTGCATCTGAAACAATAGCCTTTTATTTTCTGATTAGAATCATACCTTTGCTTTGCGTAAATGTTATTTTTCTATGGTACAAGATAGCATTATCCATATTCATAATTGTTTCCTCCAGTTTTAATTCATTGTAAATCACAGACCCGTCTGCCCAGTTCTAGGAATTCTGATTTCTGATTTCTCCTTACCATTTTTGTTGATTATAAAAAGAAGTACCATCATTCAAATTTCCTCTAAATGCAGAGTTTTAGGCTTCGTTTGGGACGGCTTTCTTATTGCTTCTTAAAGCAACTTTCTAGTTCAAAGTTTTTAATTTTTGAACTAAAAAACACTTTAAGAAGCAATAAGAAAACCGTCCCAAATGAAGCCTAGGATCCTATCTATCTAATGAAAGAAGCACTAAGCCTATCTTTCATTTTTTCCTTTTTTGGTCTGCAGTGGCAAGCTGGATCCAGGCAGCAGATTGTCCCTTCAGGTTATGAACCGGATAAAAATAACTGGGGCTGGAATTGGTTAGAAAGATGGATGGCGGTCCGTCCATGGGAAAACCGTTTTCTGGACATTAATCTAAAAGATGGAGTAATGATTAATGAAAATGAAGCAGTAGAGGGGAAGCCTGGAATCAAATCTGTTGTAAAGCCTTCCGGGAGGAAGCCTATTTCTTCTCTTCATTCAAACAGTTCCAATCAGAAAACTGCTCTCTTCCCCTCTGATGTTTCCTCATCAAACCGTTCTGTAAAAATGGCGGATGCCTCCACCCTGCCTTCAGAAAAGGCAAAATTGAAAATATCAGCAGAAGGGGTGCTTGGAGAGTCTAGTTCTAGACCTTATGGTTTGGTATCACGGTCCAACAGTACTCCAAAAGAAAGGAATCCTCAGTTTGATTCACAGGATAGGAAGAGATTGTCCTTACCCCCCAATGGTACGCCTCAATTTCTCTTAATGACTGTTCTATTATTTCAGGATACAATGAAGAAAATGTTTTTTGACCTGCTCTATCTCTGTAGTGAAAACTCTATTGTTAAAGGGTAAGATTTCAGCATCAGACTTGTCTGTCAATCAGAAAATATAAGTGATTTGCATTGCTCCAAAACTCTTCTACTTCCATCTTGATTTGCTACAAAAAGTAGGATTTACCTACATTCCACAATCTATATATTTACTTATTTACTATAAAAAATTATTTAGTTATTTATTTAACACTATTATCTAAATCTTATCAAAGCATATGCATTTAAAATATATATTTTGCTTTAGGTAAGTTAATGTTAGTAACATTTTTTTATGTTATTTAGAGATTACAACGTTCTAAAAATAAATATAAATGTACAAATATATAAAAAATTCGTGGTATATGTGGAAATCTCCTTACAACTTATTGTCTGTTATGAACCCTAGTTCATCTCAACATAGATTTTAATCTTTATTTTTTCTTTCATACCTGTCACAATAGGGTTCTTCGTTTGTCCTTTAAGCTTGAAGTTGAGCCTTGTCGCTTCTATAGACTTCTTCTTTTGTTCAGTGCGCAAGCATCAAGCGATTTTTATTACATGCAATTCTCTAGAATTTCTCCAGTTAAGCTATCTTAGTAGCTTTGTTCACAAATTTCTAAATATGCAGCTCATTTCATTTTCAAAAAAGATCTATTTTCTGTCATCTTCGATTAAATTGATGAAAGTGGAATTTATGATGCACAGGTGCAGCACCAAAGCACTCAGCTATCAGGAATTCAGCTAGCAAGGCAAGCAGTGCACAAAAGACCATCAAAGAGACTCCCAAATCAGATAGTGTGAATCCAACAAATCAGGTTCCAAAGAGAGTTGAGATCCGAACATGATAAGCTAATCACAAGTAAGCTCATTACTTGCTATCTCTGTATTCTCGTCATGTACATAAAGCATGATAACCCTTTTACATTTGTGTTGTATCTATCATACTCATATTCATATTTCCTACACTATTGTTGAGAGGATTTTAAGGAAGCATTTCTGCATAGAAAAACCAATGGAGAGCTCATCCCCATGCTGTACAACTAGTTAATTGTTCTTCATCCATCCTTTTTTTTTTTCCCTAAGAGTTCTGGTTGAAATTTATGCCATGCTCTTATTATTGCCTCTTAACAGTCTCCAGTTTCTTGGTTTATATTTTATTTTGGTTTAAGTTGAAAGCCTAGGAGCGATAGTTGCTACCATTATTCTGTTGAAAAACTTGACGTTGCAAGTTACCTTCTATTGATATTTGCAATAGCAATAGAAACAACTTTGATGACTTGCCTTCGTTTGAGACATAAGACTTGGTTTGGAACGGTTTTCTTAGTACTTTCTAAAGCAATTTTTTTGTACAAAAAATTTTATGAAGTAAATATTTTTTACTACAAATTTGCTTTTAAAAGTACTATGGTTTCATTTGCGACGGCTTTCGTATTGCTGCTTAAAGAAGCTTTATAGTATAAAAATTAAATTTTTTGCATCAAAAATATGCTTTAAGAAGCAATAAAAAAACTGTCCCAAACTATGCTTAAGAAAGTCGTTCCAAACGAAGCCCAAGTCCATATTAATTAATTGATACTGTCTAAACAGTATCAATCACATTACTTTCATTTCCTTCTCTTTTTTCAAAATCATTTCTTATTCATGTGTGTGAGTATATTGTGTTGTCAACCAATATTATAAGGTGATGTACATCATTAAATCATACACTTGCAAACATTTTTATATGAATTTTTTTATTTATTTTCTCCATATTATTTCATATTGATGTATAATATGCATTATGTGGCATATGATAATTGATCTAATTATGATATAAAATTCATGTCATCCATTTCAATATAACCAATTGTTTTTAATAGAGATATTTTATAAAGCATTAACATTAAGTAATTAAATATTTATAGTATTTGATGCATCAAATTTAGGAGAAGTAAATATCATTACTGTGAATTAGAATATAAATACTCATCTTAAATTTAAATAATTTGATATTTCATTCATACTATTCAGTCCGGCGTTGATAATTTGACACCTTATATATATATATATATATATATATA